TGTGAGAGCGGGGCTGCCTCAGAGCCGCCTCCTGCCGGGCCGCGCCCGGGCCACGCTTCTTCCTTGCACGGGGGTGTCGGGGGGGCAGGGGCAGCTGCTCTGTGCGCGGGGGTGGCGCGACTGCGTGTGGCTGCTGGGGACGAGCTTTTCGGACCCCGGGGCTGCAGCGCCCCACTCGGACCACCTGCGTCTACACCCACGCGTGCTGGGGAGCCGGCCCCGGGCTCCTGGTGACCCTGGCTCAGGACAGGGAGTGAGGAGGAAGGTGGCCCGTCCGCAGCAGGGCTACCCAGGACTTGACTGGAGGCGGGGCGATCCCCAAGATCCTTGGTGTCCCCAGGACCCACTGTTGGCATGGAGACATTTGTGCGTTGACCTTGATTCCCTTCCAGAATGTTCCCTGCAGTCAGGAAGAGCGGAGACCTTGGGGGAGTCCCTGCGCTGGCTGCCTCTCAGCGGCCTGTTCAGCAGCCTGAGCAGGGCAGGGAGGCCGGGTCTGCGCCGTGCGGGCTCCTGCTTGCTAGGCAGGCTCAGGTGGGGCGGCAGGTGGCGCGCAGCCAGGGGAGCAGATGCCAGGCCCACAGAGGCCAGTGGCGATGACGCTTCAGTGCCGTCTCCAGCCAGGGCGGACGCGGCTGGACAGGCGCCTGAGGCGGGTTCGATGCTGTGAAAGACCTCTGCAGATTTTAGGGCAGGGTCTAGAGTAGGAATAAAGTAGCAGCTTCTGCCAGCCGTGTCCGGCGTGTCTGGCCATGTCCAGAACCTTGCGCACTTAGCCGCACGACCATCCCGCAAGGCAGGTGCTGATAGCCGGCTCGCAGGTGAGAACAGGCCGGAAGGGGAGGGCCTGGCCCAGGGTGACTGTGCCCCCCTATAAACACGGCGTCTGTGGGCCCCTCGCCCTTCAGAAGGAAGCGGGGCCCTGGGCTGTGGCCACCGACACCTGCAGCCTGCCCGCTCCTTCCTGCCAGCCCCTGCCCCGGGCATCCCAGCTCTTCTGGGATGGGAGCAGGGCTTGCCTGATTTCGAGGGGACCTGTTGAGACATTTCAGCAGGTGGCACATCCCCCAAGCTGAGACCCCTGTCCTCGGGGAGGGCACAGCCCCTCCCGGCTCCCACTTGCAGGCCAAGCAGGTCCACGGCGGAGGATGGGGGGGCCCGCTGCCCTCAGGACAGGGGCTCCCGTCCTGGCCGTGGCCTTGAAGACCCGATGCTGTCCACCTGGAGAAACGCAGGCCACACTCTCCCTGTTGAGCCCAACACCTGAGGGGAGAGAAAGGAAGGACCCCGTGGGAGGGAAAGTGCAGCGGCCCGGCCCAGGAGGGCGCTCTTCGGACGTGCTGGAAGGCAGAGGGCCCCAGCCCGAGGGCCAGGACGCCCGAGGGGCTGTCAGGTGCTGTGGGGCTCAGGCACCTCGACTGCCCTTGGCTTCAAACTGTGACCTTCACATTGTCCGTCGCAGCCCCAGTCTGGGCTCGTGCTCGCTCCCACGGACACGGCCAGCACGGAGAGGCCGGTCCCCGGTGGCCGCGTGGGCAGGGCCACCCTGCGGCCCCTGCTGCTGGACTGCAGCCGCGTGGCCTCGGGAGTCGGGCAGGGACGTGGTTCCCACCCGGCCGGCGTGGTTGGTGTTCATGTGCGACTGAAAATGCCCGCACATGTGAGCCGTGGGGACGGAGGCCAAGACCATGCGTTGAAGCGGGAAGAGCAGGTGGGGTGACGCGGGGGCCCCACCTGGACCGGTCACCCCCCACAGCGGCAGGGCGACCGCCGAGCTTCCTGCGCTCACAGCCCTGGACGCGGACAGGAGGGCTGCATGATGTGCTCCGTTTCCCGGGCAGCGTGTGGCTCCTGGACTCGCCCGGCCCGGCCACGGCCCTGCCCGCTCTGGCTCCTGCTCTGGCTCCTGCCGCGGCCTGGCGGTGGTCAGTCTCTACCGTGCCAGGAGGGACGTCCTGCCAGGGGCGCCGGGCACGCCTCCCCTACCAGCAGGGGCGGGGAGCCCCGTGTCCCCGCGGCAGCCCTCCTGGGCACTCAGCAGTTCCTGACCCGGCGCAGACCGCACCGTGTCCCAGCCCCCAGTCCGTCGCCCGGAGCCCTCAGGTACAAGGTGATGGGGTGATAGGTGGGTGTTTGGGAAGCGACAGGGCGTGTGGGGGGGCCTCGGGACTGGACCTAGGGTCTCTGCAAGGGTGCAGAGGGGAGCCAGCTGTCTGCAGTTGGTAGGAGACCCCCCGTGACCACACCGACCTCGGCGTCCGCCTCAGACCGAGGGTCTGGTGACCGCGGCCCGAGGGCCTGGGCTGCCCCCACATAGACAAAAGGAAAAGTAACACCACTTTTAATATTTAAAGTCTGAGACTTTTGTTCACTGTGGACTTTTGTTTACATTGAATACATTTTGTTTAACTGCATTAAAGTATTTTACGACCAAAACCCTGGGCGTGTGCTGTGCCCACGCGCGTCTGGAGAGCGTAAGCCTGCACCTGCACCGCTAACGCGCAGTGACCGTAAGCCGGCGCACTGCATGGTGAGACGTCCGTCAGGCAGAAGCAGCCCACATGCCTCCTCTCTGGCTGTGTGGCTCCTTGTCCCCAGCTTCCTCAAGCACCAAACAGCCGCAGCTCCCGGTTGTGAGGCCTTGTGAGATGATAAATCGCATAATTACCTCTGTGTCAATCCACACGGCGTTACTGCACCGAGAAAATACTAACTTGGACTGCTGTGCGAGAACGGGATTGAAATCTAATAGGAACTACTTGTCCTACCTCCAACTTGAGATATGAATCGTGCTTTGTATTCCGTTTTCTTTTCCCTCCCAAGTGTTTTTTTTTTTTTTTTTATTCCTGGTACCATTCGCACCAGACATGTAGTCACCCCTTAGCCAGCCCCGCTGTCAGGACCGAGCGACGCTTCTCACATGCGAGTGCAGAGGCCACGTGGCGCCTGAGAGCCCCTGTTGAGAAGCTTGGCCGGGAATCGCCCTGGTCCAGCCTAACACACATCCTCTAGTGAAGGCTGAAAAGGAGGGAGGACAACCAAGGGAGGCTGCTGAGCAGCATGCCCCGCCAGGGGTTCTGGGCCAGGAGAAGGTCGGGGCCCCCGGTCAGGCTCGGGGTGAGGGGGAAATGTAAACCAGACAGCACCTGTCCCATTGTCTGTTGATCCAGCCTCATCGAGCCTCATCCACCCACCCACCCATTCACCCACCCACCCAACCACCCATCTATCCAC